AAATATCTTCTCTTTTGTATTCACAGAGTCTGTAAAACATCTTTTTGCAATGAATCACAGAGCTGTGCTAGAGGTGGGAGGGGCTTCAAGAGCAACGCAAGGAGGAGCCAGAGGGTGGTTGAAACTAGTGGACTCTCTTTTAGGATTTAATCTTATCCTCCTATTAAAAAATAAGAATTGAGATTTTTTTTTTTAATGGTTGTAAGTGAGGTGGGCCTCACCATGTTGCCCAGGACTACAGAAAATGTTTTTCTTTCTCTTTATTGCTCTAGACCAGTTGGCTTAAGATTTATTCTGTTTGTATGTATTTTATATTATGTGCTAAACATTTTGCTAAAAATAGTGACACGCTGTATTGTTTAATGCATTAACAAATCAGTGTTAGGGGTGAGATATGGAAGTTTTGTAGGCAAACACCGTCTTACTACAACACTTGGCAGCTTAAACATTCGGCCATTATTTAAAAAATTCCAGTGTCTACTGAACTTTTGTCACATGCTTCCCAAATTTTGCTGATAAGAATATAAAAAACACATGGCTGTTGCAATCATCAAGTGCAGATTAGATTAGATGTATTCCCAAATCACAACAAACAATCTTAAACTTAGAATTCTCTGTTTATGTATCTAGACTGTTTTAAAAACACAAAAATTCAGACCTTTCCATGACCACTAGATTTATATTGATTATGGCTTTTGAAAAAAATATTATTTCAATTAACAGGAAAAAGAAAAAGATTTGCCAGATGAGAACTTGATGATTTTTGCACGACGATGAAATGCCTTTAAGTTATCATTTGACTTACCAGGATAAATATTATTCATATAAGGGAAGGGAAAGGTGAAAAGGTGTGATGTGATGGGGAAGCTTATGGGTGTATGGCACTGCGAGGAAATGAAGGAGCTGTGAGAACTTCCATTTCCATAAATTAAAGGGAATAGGAACCCTACAAATTTAGGTTTTAAGCATTGCCTTGGGAGATGTAAGCATCTGGGTTAGACTAAAGGAAAAGGTGGCGAGCAGAATTCAGGCCAATATGAGAAAAATGAACACGAGGAATAATTGCAGAGTTAAGAGGAAAGCTACTTTGAGAATTTTAAACATATGGCTGAGTGTATCATTGTGGTTAAGAGAAAACACCTGAAATCAAAATGCGTGGGTTCAGATCTTAGCCCCACCACTTGGTCGGGGTGGCCTAACGCATATAAAGGCCGTCAGTCAGTACCTGGCACAGAGCAAATACTCTGTAAAACGTTTATTGTTGATGGCGGTGTTTGCGATGATCAGTACGCCATTCCACGGGGGAAATGCGGCTGATTACGCCCACATTGTGTTAATAAAAAAAAAAAAGAGTAATTTGGTACCATTTTCAAATGTGTGATCATCACCAAATTGACAGAATAGAGTAGAATGCTGGATAAATTGTCAGTGGTATTATTTTTAATAGTATTAAATAAGAAAGGGCAGGCGCTAGAGAACACAAATTAGTAATCTAATTAAATCATCAGCAAAAGAGACAGATCGTGTTAACAAGAGTCAGATTTGTTATTGGAGAGCAATTATGAAAGTGAAGTATTGAAAGATGCCGTGTATCATGACTAGGTTTTACACAATTCATTTTACACAGGCAGAGAAGTGTAGATTAGTCAGTTCATTTGGTAAGCTAAAAGCTCCTTTATTAAAATATTTATATCATTTGCATAAAGGAAGCAACACTGGTGAAGATCTAAAAAAAAAAGCTCTGTGGCACCCTGAACAACATTCATGTATGAAATTATTTGCACGAGTCACTCTCATTGGCGCAGATGCCAAGTGCCACGTGACCTAATTCGTGAGGTTAAGTGACAGTTCTGGTTTTGACATATTGTGCATTTTCTTAAATGACTCTCAAGTAAAATGATTTCCATGTGGCACCAAACTATTATTTGCTTACGTTTTATATTTGATGAATGTGAATCTTTAATGAAATAATCAGAATGTTCACAGGACTAGTGAAAAGTTGCTTTCTTCCCCCCCCCCACTTGGTTTCTGGCCTTCACAGAAATAGGAAGACCTTTACGCGCTCCTACATACTGTGTTACTCCAACTGGGCACATGCGGAATTTCACAGACTTTTATACAAGCCCGATCTGGGGCTGTCAGGCTCAAACATGGAGACCTAAGGGCAGAGCGAGTTACCTTAACTTTCTATGAGCCCCGTCTCCTGATGTGTAAAATAATGATTAATAATTGCCTCATGATTTTATTGTGAGTAATGCTGGATTGTTTTTATCTAAATAGCTGTCACAGTACCTGACAGAGATACGAATTCATGAGCTGTCATTTTATTTTGATTTTTATGAATCTTTAAGGAGCTGCAGTCATTTGGTCAAATGCACTTGGGTACTACTGGTATCTATTTGAGTTAGTCTGTTTACTACATTGAAGTTGTGTATGTGTGTGTATAGAATGGTAAGGATTGTTTGATAAATTGTTTATTTTTTGCTAGAAGAGTCGGAAATAAATAAGTTTACATATGCAAACATTCATATATACCGTGAGTTCCAAAAAAATGTCTACAAAGTGGACACGTTGGTCAACGTTGCTCAAGCAGTGATTCGCTGTAATTAGAAGTGTCTGGACGGTAACCACTTTGAGCACCTCTTGTAATTGCAGAAGTCAAACGTGACTTGTATTCATCTTGTATTATCAGTATGTATTGAATATTACAATTTTAATAGTTTTTTTCTTTCTTAAAATATGTATACATTTTTTGGCACCGTGTGTGTGTGTGTGTGTGTGTGTGTGTGTGTGTGTGTGTAACAGGAATTAGTATCTGCTTGGGTATAATTGAAAGAGCTTTGAATTTAAAGTTCTGAGGCTCTGGGAAGCTTTGATAAAATTCTCATCTTGAGATTCATCTGTTTTAGGATATAGGGTGTAGATTAAGTATATTGAATTAAGTGTCCTGGGTGACTTTGACATGCCTCACTCTGTCCTTAGCTGAGAATCTGTGAAGTTGAAAGTTCTTGATGAACTCACAAGAGATCGGGGAAAATATACATGGACCGTGTAAGGAGTTATCTCAATATATCATACGTGCTGAAACATGTATAAGCTCATTATGATGGGAGCCCAGAGGATGTGACATTCACGTTGGGTTTCGAGGGAAGAATAAGAGATTAACAGGAGAGGAACAAAAAGACATTCAGAAGAGAAAAGGGAGAACGTTGATCAAGGCTTAAAGACACGAGAGGTTGCCATTAGGAAGAAAGTGGGCTGCTTGAGTGACATATTGGGTGGACATCAACACTGCGATCTATTTAGAAGTTATTCCTGGATTTATAAGCAAGGACAAATTCTTCCTTTCAAGACAAATGTAAGATATATTTACAAGAAAACATGTTTTCTGTTGTTGGAGGAAGAGCACTGCGTGTTTATTATGACTGCGTGATTTTTAGCTAGATTATCACCAGAGGCCAAAGGTTTTGCACATAGCAGGAAAAACAATTAGCAAATGCAATAAGAGTGCCTTCGCGTGCACTTCTATTTTCAAGGTTAATTATTTGTTTAATTAAAGCGGTCAGAATCAACCGGAGATGCTGTTGCCTAGAAATATGAGATGACTGTGAGTCTCTTTGGCAGTATAAGCATTGTGTGACAACTTCTTTTAATCTCTCAGTAAGATCTGGCTTTTTCTCACTTTGAAGACCATATCGCGTTGTACCTTTATTTCTATTACTTTCTCTTAGTTGTTGATTATTTATACAATTTTACCTGCATTTTACAAATGAGGGCATTGAGCCTTAACAAGGTAAAGGGATATATATACATAAGGTCTCATACTTAGAAAGTGGTAGAGGGCCGGCCGAGTGGCTCAGTTGGTTAAGAGCTCGCTCAAGAGTTTGAGCTCTGAGCAACAGCAGTTCGAGTCCAGCCCGAGCTGAGCAGCCACTGAGCTACCAACAGGTAGCAGGATGGCTCAGCAAAAAAAAATAAAAAACAAAAATAAAA